TCCTTGTCCCTTGGGGGGAAATCCCAACCCTCCAGACCCCTCCCAGTCACCTCCTTCTGCCCGAAATCAATGAGGTTCTGCAGGTCCAGGTCATCCCGGTAATGCACGATGGCCCCGTTGATGATCTCGCTGACCTTCCCACGTGCCTGGGGACACACAGGGGACATCAGCGAGGTTGTCACCAACAGGACAGGATTGGGGTCACCAACAGGACAGGATTGGGGTCACCAACAGGACAGGATTGGGGTCACCCACCCCTCAGTACCTTATCAGAGAAAACGAAGCCCAGCACGCCGGCCGCCAGCTGCAGGAGGAAGATGATGGTCAGGCAGACGGAGAACTGCGGGATGAGGAGCGTGACAATGAAGGGACCACAGGAGAGACACGGAGATGCCACCAAGATGCCACCAGGGTCCCCAGGAGGGCCTCACCGCCTGCAGCAGGGTGATGTTCTCCCGCAAGGAGCCCACGCAGCCGCAGAAGGTGATGAGGAAGGTGAGGACGCCCACCATGATGAGCAGGATGGCAGGATCCACCGCCAGGCACGCCATGGCCGCCTCTGTCACAGCGAGGTGTCACCAGCGTCCCCAGGATCCCAAATGCCACCCCACAATGTGACTGGCACGGATCCTGCGGGGATGGGAACCCCCAAAGCTCACCTGCGTGCTTCAGCAGCCGGGCGTACACCCCCACGGCCACCATCACCATGGAGATCACCTGCAGAGCAGGACAAGGTGTGTGACACTCCCTGGGGGTGTCACCACCCTCATGTCACCCCCATCCCACCCCCTGCGGCCCCCCCAGATCAGGGGTGCAAACAGAGCACCACAGCTGGAGCTGCTGCCTCAGTTTCCCCTTGTCACACCGTGTCCACCGTGTCCCCACCTCCTGGGAGGTCACTTCTGTCCCCACCTCCTGGGAGGCCACCTCTGTCCCCACCTCCCGCCGGCCGGCCAGCCCTGTTCCTCTACGGGTGACTGGACGCAGGGACGTGGTTTATCGGATGTGAGAAACTTCCTCAAAAATAGGATTGCAAACACGGAAATTACCAGCAAAAAAAAAACCAAAAAAACACGAAAG